GAGAGAGAGAGAGAGTTAATGGTAATTATTGTAGACACGTGAGTTGAGTAATTGAAATAATTGTTTTCTTTAAGAAAATTAATAAAAGAGAGAAAGAAATTAAGCGGATCGATGGCAATTGTCCACATGATTTCGATGATATTAAAATTTAAAGAAGGTTAAACATTTTTGGAACATAAAATTTTTTTTCAATCAATACTATCGAAGATATTTAATTAATCGTTATAAATACGAATATTTAAAGTTCGCTGAAATCACACAATTTTATTTGTAGTTTTATTATTGAACATTGCTAGTACTATTTAAATTGGTATCTGTTATTAGTTCTCTTTCTCTTTCACACACTTCAAGTATATTGTAACAGGCAGACGCAATTACGTTTTATTAAACACGTATTCAACCAAATCAGTGCGTTTGTTTATTGTTTGCCCTGTCAACAATCGTTCCCGTAAAAAGCTTTTCGAGACGAAAGATTCTCGATTGTTTTCGAAACCTATTTTTTTTTTTTTTTTTTAATTTATCGAAAATTATATTTCGATTGTGACGTGAATATATATATATGTATATATGCATACGTGTATTGATAGAACGTCAAGGGTATGTTTATTGAATCTCGGGATCTCTGTTTAAACCTCAACTGTGATCCCAAGACACGACTCGTGACATAATCAGATATCGGATCGGCTTAGCAATAATCGCACGCAATCAGCTAAAGGTCTTAACATTTATTAGGCACGTGTTACCTCGATCGGGATAACAGATCCTACATAAATTATTTCAATGACATAATCTTGACGTAATCTTAGGAGGAAGAAAGTGCCTTTTCATTGAAGAAACCGATACGAACAAATATCGTTTTTATTATTCCATTGTTTCATTCGAAAGAAATTTTTCGAGCTGCTTCAACTTTTACTTCGTTGTCGAAACGAAGAGAAGAGCAAATATACGTTATACGTTTTGTAACGCTTCTTTTCCTCCGCATTTTCAAAAGGGAAATATTGGTTTCATCATTTTGAAAAAAAAAAAAAAAGGAGAAACTGAATCTGGAGCACGCATATCATAGATTCAAGGCTTTTAATTTTCCTTCTGGCGATGTGCGAAGTGTTGTTGTAACGGGGCAAAGGAGTTTCAGAGTTTATAATTACTTTGCGATTATTATTTCTGTTTCACCCCTCACCGTTCGAGAGATCGATTCTTCTTTCGTCTTGAGCAAGTTTAACAGGTGAATGAAAGTTTAACAGTTTAATTAGGATTAATTCTTCGACAACAACAAAAGCACGGGTACTTTGTGTCCGTCATCCTATTATAATTTTTAAAATTCTCATTGAAACAGTCGCGTGAATGAAAAAAATTATATCACTAGAAATTCTTTTAAACGGTCCCAAGCGGTTAAACTTTACAGAAGGAAAGTTAAACTTTGGATGAAAACTCTACTTATGATCAAAATAAATAGAGCGATATATCGTCTTTAATTTTCATTGGGCAAACCAAACAGAGCCAATTTTTCTTATTTATAGAAAACGCAACTTACTTTTCTCCCTATAAAAATGATATTATATTCAAAACTCGAGTTCAATATTTTTTCATACAAATAATAAAATATTCCGCAAATATTCCTCTGATAATTCAAAACAAAAAAAACTTTGTAATCACAAGGATTAATAAAACCAAGAATCAAAACCAAGTGTATATATATATATATATACACCTAATTCTCACGAGTAAGAGGCAGAACCACTGCTCCGTAAATATCTCGTTATACGTAGGGATTGAAAGCAATCAACCAGGCCGGTAATCGAATCGCGGGCGAAGAAAATATATAATTCGATCGGTTGATTGGAGAGTGGATCGAAAGAAAAGAAGCTGTAACGATCAATTAAACTTAATGCAGGGGCACGGATCGAAAAAGGGACGAGTTTCCAGAGAGGACAAAAGGGTTTCGGTTTACCGGATGGAAGAAATGTCGGTCACTAGCTTCGAGTTATTTCCTTTAACACTTCGTCTCAAAGTGGTCCCCCGACGATGGGGGAAAAGAAATTAATTAGATTTCGCCTGTTGGGATGGCGAAACAAAAGGCGAAGCGTGGCTACGTTATCGGTTTACGGAGGCCACGATGGGTATCCTTGTTCTTTTTCCGCCTCGTTTCTTTCGTACCGACCGAGCATTTTTGAGAACACCTACCTCGGCTACAGCGCATTAAAAGGAATGTGCAAACACTTTAGAAACGGCCTTTATTCGCGCGCAATTTGAACGCGCCTTTTATCGTCGTCGCTCCCCTTTCCCAGATTCTTTTGGGAAAAAGAAAATTTTTAAATTTGAAATTTTGCCCGTGAACCGACGTATGCGTTGTGTACCGTTAAAATGATGACTCGAAAGGGGGCGAGTATCGAGTTGGAAAGAATTGGAAATGCGATTTATTTTGAAGAATTTTTATCTAATGTTGTTTCGTTACAAGTGGAACTCGTGCAGTTCATTTCGTACTCGAGGAATGGAAGTTGAAAGAAGGTGAGAATTTATTTTAATCTCGACAACTTTTTGACGAAGTAATTTCTTTTTTGGGGGAGAGGGGGAAGGATTTTACGAAAGACAATCGATAGTGGGTAAAATTATTTTGCTATAGCAGTTTTAAATTTTTCTGCATAATATCACTCGAACCGCTTATGATATTGAAATGTAAATTTTTATGCTCACTGTATATTATTATTATAAATAAACAATATTTTTTTTCACGACAATGTAGCGAGTATTTATTCGCGCAATAGATTTGAAAGTTTTTCACGTGGATTTATTTATACATTCATAAATTTTCACATCGCTCGCATAGATATTTTATGAAACAGAAATATTTTGCGTATTAAATTTGCACGAAAGTACGATTTTAATATTTTATGACGTTTTCCTTTCATTTGATAACTCTATTTAAACGTTCTGGCACGTATAAAACAAAATGTTTTCAACATGTATATAATTCTTTTATTCAAAATCCTGTTAAATATCTCCCTCAAAATTATAAGTCCTATATAAAATATTTTTTCTTTTCGCAATAAATCCAACAAATAATTACGAGTATATGTTAGTACACAATATTTTCGACATTGATTTATTTTAAAATAAAACATCAAAAATTAAAAAAAATATATATATATATATATTTTTTAATTTTCCTTTTCGAATAAATTATAAATAAAAAATAAAGTTAAAAATAAACCTGACAATTGCAACACATTTAATTAAAATTAATCAAATATCAATATCCAATTAAAAACGTAAACTCTTAAAAATATTCACGATTTTTATTCGATTCAGTTCCATTTTGATTATTTCTTTATAAAATCGACAACGTTCGTTCCTCTGCATTTCGAGATATTGTTCGATCCGTTCGACCAAGTATTTTCGTTTTCTGGGTTTAAAAATTGTCCAACAACGACGAGGAGTCGTTGAAGATCGAAATTTTATTTTATTTTTTTGTTTCCCCTCTTCAACAGGTCGACAGTGAAAGGATCGTTCCGCGACGAAAAATCGTGAATAAAAGGAAGGAGAAAAATAAAAGGGGGAAAAAGCGAACGAGGGAAAGAAAAAGGTCGTTCGTGATCGGCATTCAATTTTCGATGCTTGCAGACTCGCAAAGAGGAAAAAAAGTGGAGGGAGGGAGAGGAGAGAAGAGTGGAAATCACGTGGAAAATTACGAGAGGAGCCCTTCGATGCAACAATAGGAGAAAACCGACTCTGGTGGTAGACTTACGAGCATTATCGTTGTTTTCCTCCTTATTAAAAGTGGCCTTTACTTCGTCTCTCTGCAGTGGACCCTCGTTATTCTGATAGGGGATGCCGGTCGCCGATACAATGGCGCTCTTGTTCCTCGGCTCTTCATCGTCGGTGTTGTTCCATTCGGAGATTACTGCGCATCAGGGATGAAGACTAATGAAATTTTCGCCCATCAAAGGAATTGTGCGTTTCGTTTCATCAGAAATAAGGATACGAAAAGGATACGAAAAAGGTACTTTTTGGTATTCCATAATTTTGTAGTAAATTTTGATAAAAATAGAAAGGAAGAAGAATCTTCGCATTCGATCGGTTCGAATGATCGATGTGAAATTTTATAATCGTGGTGGTATTTCTTCGAAATTAAAAAAAATATTCTTAGACGAAATTGGTTAATTAATTTTTCACTACCAATTTTTCCCTCTATCTGAAAATAAAATATTAACGATCATACATTAGCAACATTGGACTTGATTTTCGTTCGTCTTGAATCTTTTTGTTCCTTAATTGAAATCCAAAAAAAAAAAATAGACCTTTCTATTCAAAATACAGATCTATTCTCAATTTCAAAATTCATCAATTAAGTTAAATTCCAATCCGATTATAAAAGCTGCCCGATATAAACAAACATCGAATCATCGATTATATTGACATTCTTATATTCTTCTTTTTCTACGAAATAATAATCTTTGCTTCCACGTTTCTTAATCAAAAAATATGATTCGAGCCACGAAGTTTCGAAAAAGTATCGAGGCGGATAAGAACGAAGGAGGAATTGGAATCGCTTCGATGGCGAGCAATCGAAGTTATTTGGAGAGAGGGAGGGCGGAAGAGAAGATCGAAGGAATGATTAACGACGGTTTCGATGCTCACCAAGGGAATCAAAGTTTTCGAATATGTGCGTCTGTGCCAAGTTTCGTTTCTGCTTCGCGGCCACGTGCTCCGATTCGCGCAACGAATACCTCCTCATGCGATGCCTTCGAGTTGACCGAGCAACCGAGAAATCGATTTTTACAAGTTTAACATTTGGGAATATTTTTGAATTAATCTGTTCAAAAGAAAGCAAAGAATGATTTTTTACTTTAAAAGCATTTTACTGTTAGGTTAAATGCTTCCTTTTGGAATTTTTGTTATATACATTTGCTAGTGAAATTTCTTATAGTAACGTTTAAACCGTTAAAATCTGAACTTAACGAATAAACAAATTTTTTGGAATGTCACAAATTAACATTTAAAAAGAATTATCACTTTCACCAAGTGAATTAAATTCAATAATATCTCTTGCTATTTAAGAATATTTTTTGATCACCTATTTTGTTCGTTTTAAGATAAAATTAAAATCTAACAAAAAAAAAAAAAAGAAACTAAAAATTTTACTCTACTTCAAATATATAAAACATGGACCGTTAAAAGACAAATTTTCAGCGAAAGAAACGAATGAAAAATTTGACGGGCACGAGACCAGTCATCTCGAAAGCATTCGATTCGTAACGAATAAGGGTTTCCATCACGATTCCTGCGGACAGCCACGTTCGAGAACCCATTGTCCCATCCAAGTGAATCGTCGACAGCGGCTGCCCGATTATCCCTCATCTTTTACCAACGATCCGCTATCACCGTCCACGTGACGGGCGATGTCAGCCGAAATTGGAAATCGAACGATCCACGCGTGCGGAGACACGCGAGCTCATCCGTTCCTTGATCCAAAGTTCGCGAATACCGGCTTCGAAACGCGGCTTGAAGAAGAGCGTGGCAGCGGCTTGAAATCCTGTGTGAACCTATTTCGCTCCTGATATCCCTTTCCTGTTTCCTCTCGTCTTATCTTCGTTCTACCTTTCGACCAGATATTTTTTTTCCTATTTTCGCCCCTCCTATCTATATTTTCATCCCTCGCGCGAACTTGGGCAAGAGTGGCGCGAATGAGACACTTTTTCTTTGAGATAAGGTAGGGAGGGAGAGAAGGGATAAACGATGGTTGCAATTTGTATCGTTGGAAGGGACAGTTATTTCATCGTAACGATATCCATAAAAAATGTTTGACTCGTTCTTAAAAAAAAAAAAAAAAATGTGCACTCTGTTTTAATTTATTCGACGATCGTGTCGTTTCTTTGGACATTAAAATTATTATGTTGTTATTAAATTGAGCTCGCATCTAGTTTCGAAACTAGATGAGAAAGAACGATCTTATTATGGAAGAATCACGTTGGAAATGTAAAATCTTTTATTCGGATAAATCGTCGTGTTCGAGGATTACCTGATTCAAAGATTACTTCGCTGAGCATGATCCACCGTGCCGCAAAGTACAATTGAAGCTTAAGGAAACGGCCAGCCCGCGAGTGAAGCTTTATGGTAACGTCACGTGCCTGTTCCAGCACAAGGTCCGGTATGTAAGAGAAATGGACAGGCTCCCCGTTGAACTGATTCCCGCCGGCGCCGAGATAAACCTTTGCGTAGGAGAAGACCTAAAAAAAATGGAAGAGTGCGTTGAAAAGAAATTCTGCTTCCATGTTGTCTCTATAATTTTTCTACTATCTTCTATTGGCTGTTATGCATCGAACGATTGTCGTAAATATCGTAACGAATGTTGGAAAAATTTGGATTTTATCACCGGCAATGGAATACAACAATTTCTTCGAGCAAAATAAATAAACACAGATCGGAATAAAAGTGTCTCATTATAAATCGCTTCGAACGAGAATGTAAATCGAACGATTTACAGTTCCAGTGAAAATTCGAAAATTCAACGTACCTGCACATCTTTGGTGAAGTAATTGTTCATGTGCAGGTGTATGGCAGTGAAGTTTCTCGAATAATCGAACTCGAAGGTAATTTCAACGGGACGACCGAGCATGCTTGGGGTGTCGTTCCTCCAACCGACCCATTCGTATCCTGAAACGGACAAGAAAAAGAAATGGGAGAAAAAATTCGTCGTTAAACAACGAAACACGCGATTCGTTTGAAAAGAATCGAGAAAAAGGAAAAAAATTGGAACAAGAGTACACGGCGAAAAAACATTCGATCACACAGCCTCGCAGTTTTAATCCAGCCTCGTTACAATTCCACCGCACAATGTAACGTAACAAAAAAAAAAAAAAAAAAAAAAAAAAGAAAAAAAAAGGACGAAATGTCTTTTCATCGATCCTTCGACAATCGCGATGAATCGATGAATCAAGAAGCGTCCACCGTTCGACGCGGTGGCGCCCGATAAAAATCGAATCCGCGACTAATTCGAGTTTAACAACGTTCGCGATCGGGTGTAACACAATTCAACGGTCCACTGTTTTTTCAGTCCCGCCAGTCCATACAAATGTACGTTTTTTTATCTCTTTCCGCCCCCCTATCCCCCCTCTCCACCCCTTTTTTCAATATTATATTATATGCAGAGCGTCCAATTTTCCTTTTTTTTTTTTTTTCAAAAGGATATTTCATTAGTGGAAAATCGAATATTTTTAATTTATTCTTTACGTAAAGAAAAATTTGAAGTAAATGATCATTCTGTGCAAAAATTTATTACAATTTAATCGAGGAAGATGTTACGAAGGTGTATGTATTACAACGAGGGAATTCAATTCAATGCTAATCGTACAAAATTTTACGTCTAAAAATAAAAAAAATCCTTTTCTTTTTTCTCGTTTTGCATACATTGCATATATCAAGAACTTTCATTATCGTGCAGTAAACTTACCAATTTCAATATCATGACAAATTTCCATCTCTCGACACAATTATCGCGTCAAAACTTCCTTCTTCCTTTCTCCGTGTCTGTCCTCGCCATCAGGCAGTGTATATATACACGCAACGACACGGGGACGATGAGGTTCGAGAAACGAAAATGGAACACTTCCATTTTTCGGGATCCGATTGGAGGCGACGGTGGACACCGATAAACGGGACAATAAAATGTGTGTAACATAAATAATCGGGGAATCGGGGATGACGCGGAAATTTGTTTGGCTACATGTGGCGTGGTCCCCTCCACCCCCCCCCCTATCAAACGAACAAATTGTTTCAACGTGAACGCATTTGTTGCAAATTGCGCGATGTCCTTTCAACGCCGCCCAACCTATTTTCGGCCGAACCAACGACAGCTGCTCTTTGAATGTTGCCTTAATTAATCGCCGGCCGAAATAGCATAGAACAGCAATTTCGTTGCAAACTGCCACCGCGTTGAATTTCGCTGTCCTCCACGAATTCGAACCTGGCCGACATCGTCTCACCCTTCTTGGAAGATGATTTTTCTTTCTCCTTTCCTTCGTCTTCGTTCATCGTGTTTCTGCATCGATTTCTGCATCGAATTATTGTTCGAACGAGAACGCGTTATAAGCCGAGTCCAAAAAAATGCTTGTCGAATTGTACGTAGCTTGTTGCTGCATTTGTTAAAGTATTGTTGCATGTTGCGCGAGGAGAAGATGGATAAAGGGTTTATTATCGATAACGAAGGGAACCAAATTTATGATCCATGGTTCGGTGGCGAGTTGGACGTTCGAAAGGGAGATTCGCGAGATTCAAAATGTAAATTCAAAAATTTCGTGTAGATTGGCAGAAGGTAGGGGAGCGGAAGGCTCGTCGAGATAGCACGATTGCCAACGCGATCGGTCCATAAATGAAAAATCTCGTTTCGAATCTCGATCTCGACCGATTCGATCAACCAATTCTTCCTTCCCTCCTGTGATATGCTACTGACAAGACCATTAATGGATTTGGAACGAAACGAATCCTTCTCTTCCATTTTACCCTTCCCTTCGATCGCTTCTAATTTCTAAATATCTCATTCTTTGCTCCAAAAGAAGGATCTTTTGTTAATTTCATCGTCGCACGAATTAAATTTCTTACTTCAATTTCATTATGGAGAAACGATATTATAAATATTTGCCAATCTGGGATCATCAATTGAAAATTATGTTATATGAGAGCTCCTTGAAAAATTGTGATTCGTTAACATTAGAGCTATGAACGATTTGATACTACTTGAATAAAGATCGATATTAATTTCGTTAAAAGTATTTGCAGTATTTTTTTAGTAACTGGAGAAGTAAAAAATTTGAGAGCAGTTAATTTCACTTGTTTTAATCCCAGTGTTAAGTAGGCCAGTTTCCGTGTACATGTAAAAGAAAAAGAGAAATCAAAGGGACACGAGACGTCCTTACTCTCAAAGTTAAGCCTTACTAACGAGTCAGCTAAAACGCCTCGCACGATACGTCCTTGCCCTCCCAGCTTACCCAACTTTTCTCCGGCCAACCCACACCTTCCTCCAATCCTAGCGCCGATTAACAATCAACCTTCGTGACTCGTCGAAAGCCTCGTCGACTCACCGTTCTCAAGTTTCAGAAACAAGCAACGTAACCAAACGAAGGCAAAAGCGTCCCCCTAATTTATATTCGTCGGCTTATACACCATTCTTGCTAATTTCCTCGGATTATCCTTGCAGGCCAGCATCGATTTACTCGCCTGAACCAGTACGACGAATATTAATCACTTAGGCAGCAGATTTTTAGATATCTGAATCGTGTTCAAATATTCAACTAATATAACACAAAATATTGTATACGATATTTTGTGTAACAACAACAACAACAACAATCATTCAATTCAGGAAGGGGAATCTAAAAATTTTGGGTTCGAAATCTACTCAGCAAATAGAGGAAACTGCACCATTGAAGTCATTTTTTGATTCATCTTGATATCTCGATCGGTTGCCGAGATATAAGCGCTCAAAGTTTCTACAGCACATTTCTTCTTGGAATTGCGTATTATGTCTAGAATTGCGTGTGTTTCTTCCAGGAATCGCGTCCGTCACTTGTCTGAAGTTTGGAATAAGTTATGAGACAAGGTACAAGCGAGGAATGTGAGAAGGACAGAAACAACAAACGATTAAAAATTACTTTTCCTTTACACGACGATATCTCGGAAACGGGAAGTCGTATCGGAATAAATCAAAAAGTATCTTAAAGGTGAAAGTTTCGCGCTTCCAACGATCTCTCGCTTATTGATAGAGAATGATTATCTTCCAAGTTACAGCCGTTCAAAGTTTTCCTAATTTTAATACAATTTTAAAGAAACTTACGCGATAGAGAACGCATTTATCCATGGAGAAACATTGCTTGTAACGTTTCGAAGATTTTTATAAACTGATGATTTTTATTTAAATTTTGATATTATTACCGTTTCGATGGCTCGATTCTCGGTCGAAACCTATTTTTCGGGCGTCCACCTATCTCGATCTGGAATCCATTTAAAATGTGTCGGTGGATACGCGCCGCAAGGTTAACGAAACACGGTGAAAATGGAAGAGTTTTGGGGGGATGGAGCCGCAGCGGCAGTTATTGCACGGATCATACCGTCAGATACCACGATTTCGAGCGTACCACACCGATCCCCATGGGAAGCGCAGGGATTGAAAATGGACTGCAATAACCCTAAAGCCGGCCGCGACCGCGAGTTACACGTTTTTTTTCTTTTTTTTTATTTTTTTTTTTTCCTAAACCCGGCTCCTCTCTTACTTTTCGCGGTCCGCTTCGAATTTCCGCTTTAACCGGACGCTGGCTGCGGTCTCCCCAACGAACTTTCGTCCGCGCGCGATTTTCCAAATTCCACCTGAATTCGCTCACGAGATGAACTCTGCGAGAAGTTTCTCCTCTGACCTAAAAAAATAATTTCTTTCGAAAGAGGAAAATTTGAGATTCTATCATCATCCTAATTGAAATAATCATTTTTCCAACGAGCCAAGTTAATCGTGTCATCGATTATTTTATGTTCATTGCATTCTTGAAACATTCGAATGGAACATTGTTTGAAGTCTCAACTTACAGATCCCGATTATCGAGAGAAAAGTCTCTATCAGATTATTACTTTCATTATTCACAGGAAAGGAAGATCTCAAACAAAGGAATTCTATTTTCACATGATGTAAAAGAAATCAGTCGAGCTATGCTCTATATATACATATATAGTTATTAAAAGTTAAAAAAAGTTTCGTTTCAATTCAGTATCAATGGCAGCTCCGCTCGAATTTTCCTTCCACCGTCTTCCCTCCTCCATCTTTCCATCCCTCTCGACAATGTTCTCGACCCGTACACCGGTATTATATCGCTCTGATCTATCCGCCTTCGTATAAACCCCACCCTTAATATCGTCCCTCGAGTAAATAGTTTCCAGTTTCCTGTCGTCGCCGCCTTCGACCGCTATCTACCATCAATTCTGAACATTCAGAGGGGCCGTAAGATAACCACCGTGCTCATGGATATATACTGCGCCGTGAACTCTCCGCGCCACGATGATTTTCTCACTTAAACCGTCCTCGCAACTATACGGCCGAGCGTATGCCGCTCGTAAAACGGTATACGTAACGATATTCGCGTGTTATCGATTTGCAAGGCGAATTTAGACGAGGCAAATGAGAAGGGAACGTGTCGTTACTGCAAATGATCGAATAACTTTTTAATATCGAGTGATTTCATAATATTTTTATTATATTGTTTTTTATGATGACAGATATTTCTCGTTCTTTAAAAAATTTTGACCCGTTCGAAAGGAATATCCTTTTTTTTTTTTTTGCACGAAATAGATGTAAGGAAGAATAGGTGATGCAACGTAAGCGTTGGAAAAAGAAAGAGTAATATTTTTCTCGCGCTCGTTTGAAATCGAGTTTGAAAATTGATCGTACGAAAAAAAAATTTTGCTAATTCTGGGGGAGTGAACTATAGAGATAGAGAATTATATGCGAAATGAAATGAAAAATTTTTTCATTTCCATATTAGCTTTTTCTTTTTTTACAAAATCAAATTTCGATGTATATTCGAGCACACGAATACTCGATTACTTCTATTCAATTTCGATTCTTCTTTTTCTTTCTTTTTTTTTCCCCTCCCCGTTAAAAAATAGAACAGACT